ACTCAAGGGTCACTGTCACAGGAAAGCCAGTAATCATTGTCATTTTACACATTTGCTTACAGTTGATGCCATAATTGAGTCATATGTTTTCCATGCATTGACGTGGTCTGTGGGGTGGGAGGAGAGATGATGAGACTATGTAAGCAACCCTTGTGGTGTTCCACAGGGGGTGGAGTCGGTCAGCTTCCTTACAATGGAGCCCCAGTCAATACTGCTGGACTGGATGGTAAGAGCATTGTGACCCTGCTTATACAGTGTGGATGTGTGTGTGTGTATGTGTGTGTGTGGTTGTGAATGTTTATGTGAGGTCTTGTTATAACAGTATTAGACACAATTAAATACACTTTTTGCAATACATTCTCCCAGCAGGTGATGGAGGCTACCCTTATGGCGCTCAGCAACTGGGCCTTGGTGGTGGTGATGGAGGCAAATCCTTTGGCAAATATGGTGAGACTGGTAGTGTGTGTGTGTGTGTGTGTGTGTGTGAGAGAGTGAGAGCATAAGAAAGAGAAACAGAGATGTGTGTGTACTATCTTTTTATTTGTGTGAATATGTGCGTGAATGTGTGGTATTTTCTCTCTAAACCTGTCTTGGTTCTGCTGTCTCCGACTATCTCTCTAAAGGCAACGGTGGGTTGCCACAGGGTGCACAGCCTTATGGACCTGAGACTGGTGGTGTTGGTGGAGGGAAACCACCTTGCAAAAATGGTACACGTCTTTGTGTACATGTCTGTCTGTCCTATATGCATCGTCAGTTGCTATATGTGTTTGTTTGTGTGTCCGTCCGTCTGTCTGCTCATGTGGTATACAGTGGGGGAAAAAAAGTATTTAGTCAGCCACCAATTGTGCAAGTTCTCCCACTTAAAAAGATGAGAGAGGCCTGTAATTTTCATCATAGGTACACGTCAACTATGACAGACAAAATGAGAATGTTTTCCAGAAAATCACATTGTAGGATTTTTTATGAATTTATTTGCAAATTATGGTGGAAAACAAGTATTTGGTCAATAACAAAAGTTTCTCAATACTTTGTTATATACCCTTTGTTGGCAATGACACAGGTCAAAAGTCTTCACAAGGTTTTCACACACTGTTGCTGGTATTTTGGCCCATTCCTCCATGCAGATCTCCTCTAGAGCAGTGATGTTTTGGGGCTGTCGCTGGGCAACACAGACTTTCAACTCCCTCCAAAGATTTTCTATGGGGTTGAGATCTGGAGACTGGTTAGGCCACTCCAGGACCTTGAAATGCTTCTTACGAAGCCACTCCTTCGTTGCCCGGGCGGTGTGTTTGGGATCATTGTCATGCTGAAAGACCCAGCCACGTTTCATCTTCAATGCCCTTGCTGATGGAAGGAGGTTTTCACTCAAAATCTCACGATACATGGCCCCATTCCTTCTTTCCTTTACACGGATCAGTCGTCCTGGTCCCTTTGCAGAAAAACAGCCCCAAAGCATGATGTTTCCACCCCCATGCTTCACAGTAGGTATGGTGTTCTTTGGATGCAACTCAGCATTCTTTGTCCTCCAAACACGACGAGTTGAGTTTTTACCAAAAAGTTCTATTTTGGTTTCATCTGACCATATGACATTCTCCCAATCCTCTTCTGGATCATCCAAATGCACTCTAGCAAACTTCAGACGGGCCTGGACATGTACTGGCTTAAGCAGGGGGACATGTCTTGCACTGCAGGATTTGAGTCCCTGGCGGCGCAGTGTGTTACTGATGATAGGCTTTGTTACTTTGGTCCCAGCTCTCTGCAGGTCATTCACTAGGTCCCCCCGTGTGGTTCTGGGATTTTTGCTCACCGTTCTTGTGATCATTTTGACCCCACGGGGTGAGATCTTGCGTGGAGCCCCAGATCGAGGGAGATTATCAGTGGTCTTGTATGTCTTCCATTTCTTAATAATTGCTCCCACAGTTGATTTCTTCAAACCAAGTTGCAGATTCAGTCTTCCCAGCCTGGTGCAGGTCTACAATTTTGTTTCTGGTGTCCTTTGACAGCTCTTTGGTCTTGGCCATAGTGGAGTTTGGAGTGTGACTGTTTGAAGTTGTGGACAGGTGTCTTTTATACTGATAACAAGTTCAAACAGGTGCCATTAATACAGGTAACGAGTGGAGGACAGAGGAGCCTCTTAAAGAAGAAGTTACAGGTCTGTGAGAGCCAGAAATCTTGCTTGTTTGTAGGTGACCAAATACTTATTTTCCACCATCATTTGCAAATAAATTCATTAAAAATCCTACAATGTGATTTTCAGGAGAAAAAAATTCTCAATTTGTCTGTCATAGTTGACGTGTACCTATGATGAAAATTACAGGCCTCTCTCATCTTTTTAAGTGGGAGAACTTACACAATTGGTGGCTGACTAAATACTTTTTTCCCCACTGTATATGTTTTTGTGTGTGTTTTTTGTAGTATGTCTGAATGTGTTTGTCGTTGTTCCTCCCATTTACATGTGTGTACTTGTCTCTTGTTGTTTCAGGAAATGGAGGGGGCTATGGAGCGCAGCCAGCAGGTGATTAAACTCACACTCACACCCACAACCCCTACACTGCTTGTCTTGGGAAATTCTGTGTGTGGTAACTGCTTAAGGTGTGAATGAATGTGGTTGAGGAAGAGCACAAATTGTTCAGTGTTAGTCTGTTGTGCATGTTCTGTGCGTGTCTTGTAAATGTCCCTTATGTCAGTGTGTTCTGTCTGTGTTAACTATTGTTACGACTCTCATCTTGGCATGTGACTGCTTAGGCTATGGTCAAGGACAGCTGGGTGCAGGTCAGAGTGCCCCCTACAGTAACGGTATGTTATATAGTCACATTCCCTGACTGAAAGTCCTGCTCTCTTCTGTCAGAATAATCATATTAGTTCCTATCAGTGGAGGCTGGTGAGGGGAGAATGGCTCATAGATCATGGAGTAGATCCATTCCAGCCATTATAGTAATTATAGTATAGAGAAAGAGAGGGAGATTATTGGCTGGAATGGAGTGGATGGAATGGAATGAAATGTGTTGCATTCCATTCCATCGACTCCATTCCAGCCATTACTATAAGCTGTCCTCCCCTCACCAGCCTCCACTGGTTCCTACGTCTAACCAGGGATGTCCATTAACACCGTTGCATTTTTGTTTGTTCTGTTTGGTTGTTTTGTTGTCTGCTGAACTAACAAAACCTAAAGCAAGGGTCCTCCAATGTGGAGATAGAAAAGAACATTCTGATGTCATCATTTTGCTAATCTACTGCTCCTCCTTTGTGTCTGACTTTGTGTCTCCTTCAGGAGCAGGAGGGAAGGAAAGCAAATATGGTGGTGGTGGACTAAATGGATTCTTTGGAAATGGAGGATACAAAGGTGTGTGGGATGAGTATTTGTTACTAATTTATGGTTGTTACTGTGACTGAGCACATGAAGTCACCTTATTGTTCTCTTTAACCAGCTGCATCACTCAACATCATTTATTCTCATCCTCTCTCTCTCTCTCTCTCTCTCTCTCTCTCTCTCTCTCTCTCTCTCTCTCTCTCTCCAGGTTAAGTTAATTATCTGAGGCCTTCTTGAAGTGAATATTTGTTCCATTCCATCATGTGTTCATTGTGATGTTTGTTGTTTGGTCTGTTGTTACTTTTATCCATTCCATTTTTATTCTGTATTTGACTGTTTTTTCTTCATGGTCCCTGTCTTTTGTATTGTTGTGTGTGTCTGTCCCCTCTCTTCCTCTATGCCCCCTGCCTCTTTTTGGAGATTGTGTTGCCAGTGTGTTTGTGTTCATATCCATTTCACACTAAAGGTCAGAAAGCAACCGTATAATGTCTGTCAGTCTCCTCATTCTTTTAACCTTGGTAAAAGTATGGTAATTGTACTGTACATGTAATGTGAGGGTTGAGTTTTAAGAATGAAGCTCTATGAGTTTAAATCAACACCAAAGAAAAGAAAATTAAAAGACATGTTCCCAAAACCTGACACCTGAATTCTTCTGAGATCATTATAAAGGGGGATATTCTCAGGGGCATTGTGATGGATATTACATACTATTCCTTAGTACCTCAGTATGCTAGTGTTGTTTATTCATGACATAGTACTTCTTATGTTACTGTGATGCTATTACTGACAATGTGTCCCCAAAGGCCTTCATTTTCTACACACGTTCCACAACATAAATAGTTTTGTCGTCATATCAAATCGAATCGAATCACATTTTATTTGCCACAGTAATTGAACAGAGGTAATTGAGGTAATATGTACATGTGGGTAGAGTTAAAGTGACTATGCATAAATAATTAACAGAGTAGCAGCAGCGTAAAAGAGGGGGATGGGGTGGGATGGGGTGGGGTGGGGTGGGGGGAACAATGCAAATAGTCCAAGTAGCCATGATTAGCTTTTCAGCAGTCTTATGGCTTGGGGGTAGAAGCTGTAGAGAAGCCTTTTGGACCTAGACCTCGCGCTCCGGTACCGCTTGCCGTGCGGTAGCAGAGAGAACAGTCTACACGGCAGTACACTTTGTTCGTCTTTTGCATGGCGTCACCTAAACTTCATCCGTGCACAGGAAACCATAGTCCTTCCTCTCTCAAGTAAGGCAACAGTGCCTTCAAACAACTGGCATCTCACTTAGACAAAACGAAACTAAATGCAACAATACATAACGTAACAATACAACACCTTACATAAAAAGAAAGGACAGCTATGCACGTGCTCATCTTGCATCAACATGTACATATTGCCTGATTGTTAACTTCAGAGAACTTTGCATTTGAAACATACATGTGCTATAAGCATTTTATTTTGCATAAAGTAACATTATTTTGCATTCAGCAATTTTTACTTGAATGCAAGCTACCTTGTAAATAAACACAAACAAGTACAAAACAAGCAACTAATACTCAAAGATACAGTATAGAAAACAAAACACATTATACAAAACATTTTTCAACCAAAACATTTATTTTATTATTTTATTGAAAAGGTTGGAGAAATCTACCTGGGGTTTTGACATGGGTCACCATGCATACCTCTAAAATCTGCCACACTCTCTGCTCCCTGTACTGAGGCTCTTGTTGGCATGGAGATTGGGTCCGTCCACCAACACTCCCATACTCACCAGCATGTCCTTTGGAATGAGACGGGAGTGGCGAGACACATACACCTTCTCCAGGTGGGGATTCATAGGAGAGGGCACATAGTCCATACAGGAGGAGCCACCCAGACTGGGGGCACACACCGCCTCCCACTTGTAGAACATTTGGCCATGCTGGAGGTTGCAGAGATCCTCCTTCACCCCGGCTGTCAGCTCCTTCTCACATTCTCCTAACAGGTCGTCGTTCCATTTGTCGTCCTCGTCCCACACCTCAAATCTCAGCTTCTTACTGGTTGACAGATCCACGGTTCCCAGGTCATAGCTCATTGCCCAGCTTGGGTTGTTGTTGTTGTAGATAACTGTAGTGCGTCCGATCATCTGGCCTGCGAAAGCTACCTTCACGTAGCCGTCAGTGGCAGTGGTGTGGTCTCCCCACAAGTTGGCCCCTCTCTGAACAGTGATGACCACCCGCGCCAGGCCCTTGCGGGTGGGGCAGCAGTCGACGCTCACCCCAGGGGTTGTTGTGGCAGCTGCAGACGCAGGAGTCTGTGTGGTCACTTTTGATGCCAGTTTGACAGGGTTCAGAACAGTTCTTCCACAAGGCCTTCTCCAGGATGTAGTCGCTGATGGCCTTGCGCAGGTGCTTCCGAACTGGGTTGGTGGTGGGCAGCAACTCATGGAGAGATTCCAGCGAATAGGAGACAATGTCCGGATAGAGTGGTAGGGAGTTCAGCCATTCCTTGTAGGAGGAGGGATCTTTATCAGCAGAGAAGAGTAGTTCTGGTTCTGTGGTGTGGCCACCCTTCACCTCTGTGAACCTGTAGGGTGACAGAGGGGGAGAAGGTTTTTGTGAGGGGCAGTACACATTTCAGTAAGGGAGAGTATTGATTAGGGAAGTGTGAAGAGAGAGGGAGACAGAAATAAAGAAATGTTGCGAGGGAGAATCTATATGTGAATGAGCAGCAGACTATAATTCCCCACCTATCATTGAAGACACTGGAGAAGCTGGCCTTGCTCTCTGTCTTAGACTTATCCTCCTGACAGTGCTTGTACTCAGTCTGCAAGCTGTTGCCATCACCCACACTGGCAGATGCCTCCACATCCAGACACATCTTCACCTCCTCTGCACTGAGACCCTGCAGGCTGGCCTGGCACTGCATGATACTGGTCACAGACTGCACCGTTCCACCCAGGCTCACCTACACACAGGATGAGAGGGTAGAAGGTAATGAATGTTCCTAGAGGGATGCCAGTAAACTGCACATCTAGGGGTAAACATCCCTAACTTTGATCTTTAGTTTGTGTGCCTATTGCCTTGATGATTTACCACATTGATGTTGACCATCTCTCTCCCTCACCTTGGTAATGTAATGGGTGCCAAAGTTATCGATAAGCTTGTAATAACGTTGTTTGTTTTCTTGTTGATATATTTTGGGGAGATTCTTCACTGCTGTCTTGAATTCTCTGTGTAACTTGGGCTGGCCGGATACTCTGTAGCTATTTGTGGAGAGAGAAAAGAGAGAGGGGGGGTTAATGTTGTATGGATACAGACAAACACTCATAAAATGAAACGATCACAGAAATATACCAGACATGCAAAAATACACTTTTATTTACAATCCCCAAAGGAAATTGTGAAATGAGGTTTCACAGAGACACAAGGGTAAAATGAGCTCATGCTGTGTGGGCCACCTGATGTTTACCTGTAATACCCACAGGACACACCGTGGCTTGTGAAACTGAACTTGTCACTCTTGGTTTTCTCCATGGAGTACTCAGCCAATTTGGAGTTGGTTCCAGCGAGCATCGTCTTCACACTTTTTGATCCCTTCTCTAACTCTAGATTGACCTTCCAGTTATTCTCGACAGCAGAGCTGCTGGCGCTGACGAGAGACTCACTGGAGCGATGGAGTTTACTGGACACTTTCATACTACACTGGTGGTTTGGTCTCCAATCCACCACTGCCAAAGGAAGCCTCTGTTTTTTCCCTTCCAGATAGGGATTCTTACAGAGGGTGCATGTCTTGTCTTTGCGTTTCCACACGTTCATGTCAATGACAAAGGCTCCTTTGCGTTTCATTTTGGTGATGTCAAAGCCTTCCCCTGCTAGGTTGGTTCCAGGAGCAAATTCTGCCTCTTTGCACTCATTGGCTGAGCCGATGGTGCATGATTGGCAACTGGGACGAGGAAGGGACAACATGAGCACTGCCCAGAGGCATACTATCAATAAGGACATCCTGGATGAGGTGAGAAGTTGTTTGGGAGGGGCAGCTGCAAGTCACTGTTTCATGCTGAAAAAAACAAAAACAAATTATTTGTGAATTAGAGGGTAATTATTGTAATGAAGTAAACAATTATTGATAACCAAGATATAACTTATTTCCAGTCAGCATGCAAACGTAACCTATAGGCCATAGCATAAGCTAACACATATTGTTCATCTACCCACATGTTTACTCATATTTTACACAAATGTATGAAAACTTGATGCTAGTGTACATGGAACTTAGACATAAATATACCCAATTTACATAATGGTTATTGTTGAATTCTAGTTTCATGTCATCATATTCATTCCCTGAATTGAATCCTCAATGGAAACGAGTCATGACCCTCAACCATTAAATACATAATCTGGTATAAGCAAAAGTCTCATCCCACTTGTTATCTATCCATTTCAAATGCCACTCTCTTATTGACTGTACAGTTTTTTGGTGCATATTTTGTTCAATTTCTCTTTATTTTGTTATCCGTTGTGGTAGTAAATGTGTTACTGCAGCCTACTATTAAAGTCAAATCAAAGTATTAGAATATGTGTACTCAAAAATATTATTTTAGTCCATATTCATATAACTATTTGTGTAAGTTTACTTTTTATAAAAATGTTGCAAAAGCAAAACAGAATATACAGCATTAAAACTCACCTTTGACCAGTCTGTCCACTATGTGATGGATGTGAGAGTGAGAGGCTGGGGTAATAATGTACCGTATTAAAGTTCCTTTGTGATATAGGAAAAGGTGTGTTCATACTCAAACAGGGGATGAGCAAATGTTGGTCTTAGTATAGACGATGCAAAAGAGTGTCTGGCGCACAATAGAACATTTTGTGGTTTCAGAGAGCGAGAATTGAGCGGAAGAGGGGTTGGGGTGGTGGTCTGGTCTGCTGCTCAGTGGAAAAATACAACAGTGGTCTTCCAGTTAAATGATAATCATATCTGCCGTCATCTGTCAGACCTATTACTTTGTCATTTCTCTGAAGTGGTGGTGTGGGTTGAGAATATGAAACTGTTGAGAACATATGATATCCTACTAGGTCTAGGAAACCCTGGGTGATGTGATATAAGAAGGAATTTACCTTCTCAATTATATAACTGCTAATTCAATATAACAAGCTACATGTATGTTCTGAAATGACCAAATATAATCAGGTTGTTGCTGTAAAAGAGGCAGAGCAATATGAGCTGGCCATGGATAACTGACTGAAGGAAGAATGATTTTTTTTGTCAATATGACATTACACCATTACACTAATAACAATAAAAACATAACACACAACAAGACAGTGAACAAGACAACACCCTTCAAACATATATCAGTGAACAACAAGTAAATAAAAAGGAAAGGTAAAGATAAAAAAAACACCCATTATACATACATTTGTACTAATTTATATACCCCAGCTTCTCACCCGCACGTCCAGCCCCTTATACAGTGGGGAGAACAAGTATTTGATACACTGCTGATTTTGCAGGTTTTCCTACTCACAAAGCATGTAGAGGTCTGTAATTTTTATCATAGGTACACTTCAACTGTGAGAGATGGAATCTAAAACAAAAATCCAGAAAATCACATTGTATGATTTTTAAGTAATTAATTTGCATTTTATTGCATGACAGAAGTATTTGATTACCTACCAACCAGTAAGAATTCCGGCTCTCACAGACCTGTTAGTTTTTCTTTAAGAAGCCCTCCTGTTCTCCACTCATTACCTGTATTAACTGCACCTGTTTGAACTCGTTACCTGTATAAAAGACACCTGTCCACACACTCAATCAAACAGACTCCAACCTCTCCACAATGGCCAAGACCAGAGAGCTGTGTAAGGACATCAGGGATAAAATTGTAGACCTGCACAAGGCTGGGATGGGCTACAGGACAATAGGCAAGCAGCTTGGTGAGAAGGCAACAACTGTTGGCGCAATTATTAGAAAATAGAAGAAGTCTCGGTCTGGGACTCCATGCAAGATCTCACCTTGTGGGGCATCAATGATCATGAGGAAGGTGAGGGATCAGCCCAGAACTACACGGCAGGACCTGGTCAATGACCTGAAGAGAGCTGGGACCACAGTCTCAAAGAAAACCATTAGTAACACACTACGCCGTCATGGATTAAAATCCTGCAGTGCACGCAAGGTCCCCCTGCTCAAGCCAGCGCATGTCCAGGCCCATCTGAAGTTTGCCAATGACCATCTGGATGATCCAGAGGAGGAATGGGAGAAGGTCATGTGGTCTGATGAGACAAAAATAGAGCTTTTTGGTCTAAACTCCACTCGCCGTGTTTGGAGGAAGAAGAAGGATGAGTACAACCCCAAGAACACCATCCCAACCGTGAAGCATGGAGGTGGAAACATCATTCTTTGGGGATGCTTTTCTGCAAAGGGGACAGGACGACTGCACCGTATTGAGGGGAGGATGGATGGGGCCATGTATCGCGAGATCTTGGCCAACAACCTCCTTCCCTCAGTAAGAGCATTGAAGATGGGTCGTGGCTGGGTCTTCCAGCATGACAACGACCCGAAACACACAGCCAGGGCAACTAAGGACTGGCTCCGTAAGAAGCATCTCAAGGTCCTGGAGTGGCCTAGCCATCTCCAGACCTGAACCCAATAGAAATCTTTGGAGGGAGCTGAAAGTCCGTATTGCCCAGCGACAGCCCCGAAACCTGAAGGATCTGGAGAAGGTCTGTATGGAGGAGTGGGCCAAAATCCCTGCTGCAGTGTGTTGCAAACCTGGTTAAGACCTACGGAAACGTATGATCTCTGTAATTGCAAACAAAGGTTTCTGTACCAAATATTAAGTTCTGCTTTCTGATGTATCAAAATACTTATGTCATGCAATAAAATGCAAATTAATTACTTTAAAATCATACAATGTGATTTTCTGGATTTTTGTTTTAGATTCCGTCTCTCACAGTTGAAGTGTACCTATGATAAAAATTACAGACCTCTACATGCTTTGTAAGTAGGAAAACCTGCAAAATCGGCAGTGTATCAAATACTTGTTCTCCCCACTGTATATACTGAACTAAAATATAAGCGCAACATGTAAAATGTTGGTCTCATGTTTCAAAGATCCCAGAAATGTTCCATATGCAAAAGAAACGTATTTCTCTCAAATTTTGGGCACAAATTTGTTTACATCCCTGTTAGTGAGCATTCGTTTGCCAAGATAATCCATCCACCTGACAGGTGTGGCATATCAAGAAGCTGATTAAACAGCATGATCATTACACAGGTGCACCTTGTGCTGGGGACAATAAAAGGCCACTCTAAAATGTGCAGTTTTGTCACACAACACAATGCCACAAATGTCTCAAGTTTTGAGGGAGCGTGCAGTTGGCATGCTGACTGCAGGAATGTCCACCAGAGCGTTTTAGAGTATTTGTCAGTACATCCAACCGGCCTCCCAACCGCAGACCGTGTGTAACCACGCCAGCCCAGGACCTCCACATCCGGCTCCTTCACCTGCGGGATGGTCTGAAACCAGCCACCCCAGACAGCTGATGAAACTGTGTGTTTGCACAACCGAAGAATTTCTGCACAAAATGTCATAATCCGTCTCAGGGAAGCTCATCTGCATGCTTGTCGTCCTCACCAGGGTCTTGACCTGACTGCAGTTCGTGGTCGTAACCAACTTCAGTGGGCAAACGCTCACCTTTGATGGCCCCTGGCATACTGGAGAAGTGTGCTCTTCACAGATAAATCCCAGTTTTAACTGTATTGGGCAGATGGCTGACAGCGTGTATGGCGTTGTGTGGGTTGATGTCAATGTTGTGAACAGAGTGCCCCATAGTGGTGCTGGGGTTATGGTATGGGCAGGCTTAAGCTATGGACAATGAACACAATTGCATTTTATCGATGGCAATTTGAATGCACAGAGATACTGTGACTAGATCCTGAGGCCCATTGTCGTACCATTCATCCGCCGCCATCAACTCGTGTTTCAGCATGATGATGCACGACCCAATGTCGCAAGGATCTGTACACAATTCCTGGAAGCTGAAAATGTCCCAGTTCTTCCATGGCCTGTATACTCACCAGACATGTCACCCATTGAACATGTTTGGGATGCTCAGAATCTAAGTGTATGACAGCGTGTTCCAGTTCCCACCAATATCCAGCAACTTCTCACAGCCATTGAAGAGGAGTGGGACAACATTCCACAGGCCACAATCAACAGCCTGATGAACTGAGGCAAATGGTGCTCACACCAGATACTTACTGGTTTTCTGATCCACGCCCCTACCTTTTTTTTAAAGGTACCTGAGACCAACAGATGCATATCTGTATTCCTAGTCATGTGAAATCCATAGATTAGGGCCTAATGAATTTATTTCAATTGACTGATTTCATTATATGAACTGTAACTCAGTAAAATCTTTGAAATTGTTGCATGTTGCGTTTATATTTTTGTTCAGCGTAATTCAAAAAGTGTTCCCATATCAGACAAAATTTGAAGGAACAATGTTAACCAGCCCACTCTCAGTTGACGCACTCTACCATGTAGGCTGCTCATTTCCAAATGTAGTAGGAAGTTAAAACATGTTTGAGGGAGACTCCACTGCCTTAGCTCCAAGCTTAATTTGAATGTGTCAATCAGAACTATCAAAAAATAAACAATGGCATCAAGTCTCTCATATAAAGACACTGACATTTATGGCATGTTATACCCATAGGGTAACCTCATAGGACAACTATTGAAATGGCCGACTGGGAGACTCTCCAGGTTAAGTCAATTATCTGAGGCCTTCTTGAAGTGAATATTTGTTCCATTCCATCATGTGTTCATTGTGATGTTTGTTGTTTGGTCTGTTGTTACTTTTATCCATTCCATTTTTGTTCTGTATTTGACTGTTTTTTCTTCATGGTCCCTGTCTTTTGTATTGTTGTGTGTGTCTGTCCCCTCTCTTCCTCTATGCCCCCTGCCTCTTTTTGGAGATTGTGTTGCCAGTGTGTTTGTGTTCATATCCATTTCACACTAAAGGTCAGAAAGCAACCATATAATGTCTGTCAGTCTCCTCATTCTTTTAACCTTGGTAAAGGTATGGTAAATGTATTGTACATGTAATGTGGGGGTTGGGTTTTAAGAATGAAGCTCTATGAGTTTAAATCAACACCAAAGAAAAGAAAATTAAAAGACATGTTCCCAAAACCTGACACCTGAATTCTTCTGAGATCATTATTAAGGGGCATTGTGATGGATGTTACATACGGAAGACGTCATGTGTATGAAAAACTATTCCTTAGTACCTCAGTATGCTAGTGTTGTTTGTTCATGACATAGTACTTCTTATGTTACTGTGATGCTATTACAGACAATGTGTCCCCAAAGGCCTTCATTTTCTTCACACGTTCCACAACAGGAATAGTTTTGTCGTCATATCAAATCGAATCAAATTTTATTTGCCACATGCGCCGAATACAACAGGTGTAGACCTTACAGTGAAATGCTTATTTACAATCCCTTAACCAACAATGCAAATTTTTAATTACATTTAAAAAAAAAAAATTTTTAAAGGTGTTAAGGAAAAAATAGATAAGTTAAAATAAAATAAAAAGCTAATAATGAAAGAGCGGCAGTAAAATAAAAGAACAGTAATTGAACAGAGGTAATTGAGGTAATATGTACATGTGGGTAGAGATAAAGTGACTATGCATAAATAATAAACAGAGTAGCAGCAGCGTAAAAGAGGGGGATGGGGTGGGATGGGGTGGGGGGAACAATGCAAATAGTCCAAGTAGCCATGATTAGCTTTTCAGCAGTTTTATGGCTTGGGGGTAGAAGCTGTAAAGAAGCCTTTTGGACCTAGACTTTGCGCTCCGGTACCGCTTGCCGTGCGGTAGCAGAGAGAACAGTCTACACGGCAGTACACTTTGTTCGTCTTTTGCATGGCGTCACCTAAACTTCATCCGTGCACAGGAAACCATAGTCCTTCCTCTCTCAAGTAAGGCAACAGTGCCTTCAAACAACTGGCATCTCACTTAGACAAAACGAAACTAAATGCAACAATACATAACGTAACAATACAACACCTTACATAAAAAGAAAGGACAGCTATGCACGTGCTCATCTTGCATCAACATGTACATATTGCCTGATTGTTAACTTCAGAGAACTTTGCATTTGAAACATACATGTGCTATAAGCATTTTATTTTGCATAAAGTAACCCAATCATTCAGACATTTTTACTTGAATGCAAGCTACCTTGTAAATAAACACAAACAAGTACAAAACAAGCAACTAATACTCAAAGATACAGTATAGAAAACAAAACACATTATACAAAACATTTTTCAACCAAAACATTTATTTTATTATTTTATTGAAAAGATTGGAGAAATCTACCTGGGGTTTTGACATGGGTCACCATGCATACCTCTAAAATCTGCCACACTCTCTGCTCCCTGTACTGAGGCTCTTGTTGGCATGGAGATTGGGTCCGTCCACCAACACTCCCATACTCACCAGCATGTCCTTTGGAATGAGACGGGAGTGGCGAGACACATACTGTGACGCGTACTGAGTATACGAAGAGGCAAGATGAAAACGCAGGAATTAACAAGGTCAAGGTTTACTTAACAATGAGCAAGAGAAATAACAAAGATAAAGTAAACGACACAAAGCTTAACAATCACACACAACATCATCCAGAACAGTCCAGGGATAAATAGGGGTGGTGATGAGATGATGAGGTGCAGGTGCGCTGGAGGTGATTAGGGTGCATTGGGTTTCCATTCCGGTGTAGCCGAGGTGGTATGCTCAGACCGGTGGCTCAGTAGACCGGCAAATCAGAGCGCCGGAGGGGAGCAACGGGAGGAGACGTGACACATACACCTTCTCCAGGTGGGGATTCATGGGGGAGGGCACATAGTCCATACAGGAGGAGCCACCCAGACTGGGGGCACACACCGCCTCCCACTTGTAGAACTTTTGGCCATGCTGGAGGTTGCAGAGATCCTCCTTCACCCCGGCTGTCAGCTCCTTCTCACATTCTCCTAACAGGTCGTCGTTCCATTTGTCGTCCTCGTCCCACACCTCAAATCTCAGCTTCTTACTGGTTGACAGATCCACGGTTCCCAGGTCATAGCTCATTGCCCAGCTTGGGTTGTTGTTGTTGTAGATAACTATAGTAGCTGGGTTTTTTGTTGTTGTAGATAACTGTAGTGCGTCCGATCATCTGGCCTGCAAAAGCTACCTTCACGTAGCCGTCAGTGGCAGTGGTGTGGTCTCCCCACAAGTTGGCCCCTCTCTGAACAGTGATGACCACCCGCGCCAGGCCCTTGCGGGTGGGGCAGCAGTTCGACGCTCACCCTGAGGTTGTTGTGGCAGCTGCAGACGCAGGAGTCTATGTGGTCACTTTTGATGCCAGTTTGACAGGGTTCAGAACAGTTCTTCCACAAGGCCTTCTCCAGGATGTAGTCGCTGATGGCCTTGCGCAGGTGCTTCCGAACTGGGTTGGTGGTGGGCAGCAACTCATGGAGAGATTCCAGCGAATAGGAGACAATGTCCGGATAGAGTGGTAGGGAGTTCAGCCATTCCTTGTAGGAGGAGGGATCTTTATCAGCAGAGAAGAGTAGTTCTGGTTCTGTGGTGTGGCCACCCTTCACCTCTGTGAACCTGTAGGGTGACAGAGGGGGAGAAGGTTTTTGTGAGGGGCAGTACACATTTCAGTAAGGGAGAGTATTGATTAGGGAAGTGTGAAGAGAGAGGGAGACAGAAATAAAGAAATGTTGCGAGGGAGAATCTATATGTGAATGAGCAGCAGACTATAATTCCCCACCTATCATTGAAGACACTGGAGAAGCTGGCCTTGCTCTCTGTCTTAGACTTATCCTCCTGACAGTGCTTGTACTCAGTCTTCAAGCTGTTGCCATCACCCACACTGGCAGACGGCTCCACAACCAGACACATCTTCACCTCCTCTGCACTGAGACCCTGCAGGCTGGCCTGGCACTGCATGATACTGGTCACAGACTGCACCGTTCCACCCAGGCTCACCTACACACAGGATGAGAGGGTAGAAGGTAATGAATGTTCCCAGAGGGATGCCAGTAAACTGCACATCTAGGGGTAAACATCCCTAACTTTGATCTTTAGTTTGTGTGCCTATTGCCTTGATGATTTACCACATTGATGTTGACCATCTCTCTCCCTCACCTTGGTAATGTAATGGGTGCCAAAGTTATCAATAAGCTTGTAATAACGTTGTTTGTTTTCTTGTTGATATATTTTGGGGAGATTCTTCACTGCTGTCTTGAATTATCTGTGTAACTTGGGCTGACCGGATAGAGAGAGGGGGGTTAATGTTTTATGGATACAGACAAACACTCACGAAATGAAACGATCACAGAAATATACCAGACATGCAAAAATACACTTTTATTTACAATCCCCAAAGGAAATTGTGAGATGAGGTTTCACAGAGACACAAGGGTAAAATGAGCTCATGCTGTGTGGTTCACCTGATGTTTACCTGTAATACCCACAGGACACACCGTGGCTTGTGAAACTGAACTTGTCACTCTTGGTTTTCTCCATGGAGTACTCAGCCAATTTAGAGTTGGTTCCAGCGAGCATCATCTTCCCACTTTTTGATCCCTTCTCTAACTCTAGATTGACCTGCCAGTTATTCTCGACAGCAGAGCTGCTGGCGCTGACAAGAGACTCACTGGAGTGATGGAGTTTACTGGACACTTTCATACTACACTGGTGGTTTGGTCTCCAATCCACCACAGCCAAAGGAAGCCTCTGTTTTTTCCCTTCCAGATAGGGATTCTTACAGAGGGTGCATGTCTTGTCTTTGCGGTTCCACACGTTCATGTCAATGACAAAGGCTCCATTGCGTTTCATTTTGGTGATGTCAAAGCCTTCCCCTGCTAGGTTGGTTCCAGGAGCAAATTCTGCCTCTTTGCACTCATTGGCTGAGCCGATGGTGCATGATTGGCAACTGGGACGAGGAAGGGACAACATGAGCACTGCCCAGAGGCATACTATCAATAAGGATATCCTGGATGAGGTGAGAAGTTGTTTGGGAGGGGCAGCTGCAAGTCACTGTTTCATGCTGAAAAAAACAAAAACAAATTATTTGTGAGTTAGAGGGTAATTATTGTAATGAAGTAAACAATTATTGATAACCAAGATATAACTTATTTCCAGTCAGCATGCAAACGTAACCTATAGGCCATAGCATAAGCTAACACATATTGTTCATCTACCCACATGTTTACTCATATTTTACACAAACGTATGAAAACTTGATGCTAGTGTACATGGAACTTGGACATAAATATACCCAATTTACATAATGGTTATTGTTGAATTCTAGTTCCATGTCATCATATTCATTCCCTGAATTGAATCCTCAATGGAAACGAGTCATGACCCTCAACCATTAAATACATAATATGGTATAAGCAAAACATTTGCATAAACTCAATCTTGTTCTGTCTCATCCCACTTGTTATCTATCCATTTCAAATGCCACTCTCTTATTGAGTTTGTTGGTGCATATATTGTTCAATTTCTCTTTCTTTTGTTATCCGTTGTGGTAGTAAATGTGTTACTGCAGACTTCTATTAAAAAGTGTGATGAGGTTATGTCGAAGGTGTCAGGCGCATGAGAGTAAATCACAGAATAACAGGCTTTATTCCGCAAATACTGAGATACGTAGTAATGCGTCAAACACTCTCGTGCGCAAAACAGGCGAACTGGAAAATACAAGGCCCACGGGGAAATATTCAGGCGATACAAAATACACGGCGCTCCACCGAGCTTAGCTATCCTCCACAATAAACAATCACACACAAAGAGAAGGGGGCAGAGGGAACACTTATACAGGTACTGATGAGGGGATATGAACCAAGTGTGTGTAATAAATAAGACAAAACAAATGGAATGATGAGATGAGGAGCGGCAGTGGCTAGAAGGCCGGTGACGACGAACGCCGAAGCCTGCCTGAAAAAGGAGAGGTGGCAGCTTCGGAGGAAGTCATGACAGTACCCCCCCCCCCCCCCCCCCCCCTTGACGCGCAGCTCCAGCAGCGCGCCAACGCCAGCCTCGGGGACGGCCAGGAGGACGCGGAGCAGGGCGAGCCGGATGGCGACGGTGGAAATCCCGCAATAGGGAGGGATCGAGGAAATCCCTCACCGGAACCCAGCACCGCTCCTCCGGACCGTACCCCTCCCAATCCACGAGGTACTGAGGGCCACCCACCCGACACCTCGAATCCAGGATGGAACGGACGGAGTACGCCGGGGCCCCCTCGATGTCCAGAGGGGACGGAGGAACCTCCCGCTCAGACTCCTGGAGCGGACCAGCCACCACCGTCCTGAGGAGAGGCACATGGAACGAGGTGTTAATATGGTAATCTGGAGGTAGTAATAACCTATATGTAACCTCGTTTATCCTCCTCAGGACTTTGAACAGCCCCACAAACCGTGGGCTCAGCATCCGGCAGTGCTGGGGAACCAATGTAATGCCTAGACTATGTGCAAATGACCTGTCCATAAAGTTCCCAGCTGCGCCTGAATCGACCAGCACCATACACTGGGGAACTACTGTGCAATCAGGAAAGTGGATGTGTAGGGTACAGTGCGCAGCAGAGGGCTCTGAACAAGTGTGGGTGTTCGATACCTGGGGTGACGCGAGAGTGCCCTGCCTGGTCTGTCCACTATGTGATGGATGTGAGAGTGAGAGGCTGGGGCAATAATGTACCGTATTAAAGTTCCTTTGTGATATAGGAAAAGGTGTGTTCATACTCAAACAGGGGATGAGCAAATGGAGTGTCTGGTGCAGAATAGAACTTTTAGTGGTTTCAGAGAGCGAGAATTGAGCGGAAGAGGGGTTGGGGTGGTGGTCTGGTCTGCTGCTCAGTGGAAAAATACAACAGTGGTCTTCCAGTTAAATGATAATCATATCTGCCGTCATCTGTCAGACCTATTACTTTGTCATTTCTCTGAAGTGGTGGTGTGGGTTGAGAATATGAAACTGTTGAGAACATATGATATCCTACTAGGTCTAGGAAACCCTGGGTGATGTGATATAAGAAGGAATTTACCTTCTCAATTATATAACTGCTAATTCAATATAACAAGCTACATGTATGTTCTGAAATGACCAAATATAATCAGGTTGTTGCTGTAAAAGAGGCAGAGCAATATGAGCTGGCCATGGATAACTGACTGAAGGAAGAATGTTTTTTTTTGTCAATAAAGTTGTTATATTTTTCAATATGACATTACACCATTACACTAATAACAACAAAAACATAACACACAACAAGACAGTGAACAAGACAACACCCTTCAAACATATATCAGTGACCAACAACACTCTCCCGAGTGGCGCAGTGGTCTAAGGCTAGCTGTGCCACTAGAGATCCTGGTTCGAATCCAGGCTCTATCATAGCTGGCCATGACTGGGAGACCCATGGGGCGGCGCGCAATTGGCCCAGCGTCGTCCAGGGAGGGGAGGGAATGGCCGGCAGGAATGTAGCTCAGTTGATAGAGCATGGCGTTTGCAACGCCAGGGTTAGTGAGCATTCGTTTGCCAAGATAATCCATCCACCTGACAGGTGTGGCATATCAAGAAGCTGATTAAACAGCATGATCATTACACAGGTGCACCTTGTGCTGGGGACAATAAAAGGCAACTCTAAAATGTGCAGTTTTGTCACACAACACAATGCCACAAATGTCTCAAGTTTTGAGGGAGCGTGCAATTGGCATGCTGACTGCAGGAATGTCCACCAGAGTGCTTTAAAGAATTTGTCAGTACATCCAACCGGCCTCCCAACCGCAGACCACGTGTAACCACGCCAGCCCAGGACCTCCACATCCGGCTCCTTCACCTGCAGGATGGTCTGAAACCAGCCACCCAGACAGCTGATGAAACTGTGTGTTTGCACAACCAAAGAATTTTTGCACAAAATGTCATAATCCGTCTCAGGGAAGCTCATCTGCATGCTTGTCATCCTCACCAGGGTCTTGACCTGACTGCAGTTCGTTGTCGTAACCAACTTCAGTGGGCAAACGCTCACCTTTGATGGCCCCTGGCATACTGGAGAAGTGTGCTCTTCACAGATAAATCCCGGTTTCAACTGTATTGGGCAGATGGCGTTGTGTGGGTTGATGTCAACGTTGTGAACAGAGTGCCCCATAGTGGCGCTGGGGTTATGGTATGGGCAGGCTTAAGCTACGGACAATGAACACAATTGCATTTTGTCTATGGCAATTTGAATGCACAGAGATATCGTGACGAGATCCTGAGGCCCATAGTCGTGCCATTCATCCGCCGCCATCACCTCATGTTTCAACATGATAATGCACAGCCCCATGTCACAAGGATCTGTACACAATTCCTGGAAGCTGAAAATGTCCCAGTTCTTCCATGGCCTGTATACTCACCAGACATGTCACCCATTGAGCATGTTTGGGATGCTCTGTATCGACATGTATGACAGCGTGTTCCAGTTCCCGCCAATATCCAGCAACTTCGCACAGCCATTGAAGAGGAGTGGGACAACATTCCACAGGCCACAATCAACAGCCTGATGAACTCTATGCAAAGGAGATGTGTCGCGCTGCATGAGGCAAATGCTGGTCACACCAGATACTGACTGGTTTTCTGATCCACGCCCCTACCTTTCTTTAAAGGTACCTGTGACCAACAGATGCATATCTGTATTCCTAGTCATGTGAAATCCATAGATTAGGGCCTAATGAATTTATTTCAATTGACTGATTTCATTAAATGAACTGTAACTCAGTAAAATCTTTGAAATTGTTGCATGTTGCGTTTATATTTCTGTTCAGCGTAATTCAAAAAGTGTTCCCATATCAGACAAAATTTGAAGGAACAATGTTAACCAGCCCACTCTCAGTTGACGCACTCTACCATGTTTGAGGGAGATTCCACTGCCTTAGCTCCAAGCTTAATTTTAATGTGTTAATCAGAACTATAAAAAAATAAACAATGGCATCAAGTCTCTAATATAAAGCGACTGACATTTATTACATTTACATTTTAGTCATTTAGCAGACGCTCTTATCCAGAGCGACTTACAGGAGCATTTATGGCATGTTACACCCATAGGGTCACCTCATAGGACAACTATTGAAATGTTGAGACTGGCCGACCCTGGAGACTCATAATGTTATTCAAGTTTAGATATGAAAGAGCGGGAGGGAGAAAGAGAGAGTGCAAAAATATCCTATGTGTTCAACTTAAAAAATTAGGCCAATACCCGCTAATTATCAAAATCCAGAAAAGAGCCGTTAAATTCTACAACCACCTAAAATGAATTGATTCCCAAACCTTCCATAACAAAGCCACCACCTACAGAGAGATTAACCTGGAGAAGAGTCCCCTAAGCAAGCTTGTCCTGGGGCTCTGTTCACAAACACAAACAGATCCCACAGAGCCCCAGGACAGCAACACATTTAGACCCAACCAAATCATGAGAAAACAAAAAGATAATTACTTGACACATTGGAAAGAATTAACAAAAAAACTGAGCAAACTAGAATGCTAATTGGCCCTAAACAGAGTACACAGTGGCATAACTGACCACTGTGACTGACCCAAAATTAAGGAAAGCTTTGACTCTTTACATACTCAGTGAGCATGGCCTTGCTATTGAGAAAGGCCGCCGTAGGCAGACCTGGCTCTCAAGAGAAGACAGGCTATGTGCACACTGCCCACAAAATGAGGTGGAAACTGAGCTGCACTTCCTAACCTCCTGCCAAATGTATGACCATATCAGAGACACATATTTCCCTCAGATTACACAGACCCACAAATCCAATTTTGATAAACTCCCATATCAAATCAAATCAAATCAAATCACATGTTATTTGTCACATGCGCTGAATACAACACAGTGGTCTAAGGCACTGCATCGCAGTGCTAGCTGTGCCATTAGAGATCCTGGTTCGAATCCAGGCTCTGTTGTAGCCGGCCGCGACCGGGAGACCCATGGGGCGGCGCACAATTGGCCTAGCGTCGTCC